CTCTCTCTCTCTCTCTCTCTCTCTCTCTCTCTCTCTCTCTCTCTCTCTCTCTCTCTCTCTCTCTCTCTCTCTCTCTCTCTCTCTCATTTTTTGACGTGGCAACAGTATGTGGGTGCTGAGCCGAACCTTGGATTGAGGTTGGCAGATCTCACACGCTTGCCCAGTATGTCCCCATCACATTCGAAGACCATTTGCTGCTGTGACAATGGAAAGTGAAGTTGCTAAATGTACCATGCAGATCTGTACTCCTGCTTTTGTCCGTCAAAGAGATGAAACCTGTACAGGTCACTTTTCTATTATGATTTTACTACTCAATGCAGCCCAGCTAAGAGGAGTGGGCTTCTGAGATACACTGCCTAACACCTGTGCTTTCCTAGCCCTATGGCTTGGTTTTGGCAGCTTTGGTCCTCTGGGCCGAACCATGCAAATTCAGCCAGGGTGTGGGCCAGTATCACAGCCACTAGCGGTATTGAAAGATGCCATAAAAGGAAAGTAGAGGAGGGAGGTAAATGGACAGTCCTGCACATTTGCCAGAAAAGAAGAAACAGGAACTCCCATGTGTCAGGAAAAACAAAAAGAAAAAACTTCAAAAAAGGGAACTCCCATGTGTCAGATTCAAGGGAGGGCTGACAGATAGAAAACAGAGGCAATAAAAGTCGTAAAGCGTTGAAGGGCAGTCACAAAGTGTCAGACTTCAGCCGCTTACCGCAAGGATACTGAGTGTTTCTTAACAAGTCTCTTTAATTTGATTTTTTGTCCTTTCTAAAAGTTTCTTTATTAATACAGGGGCTGATTCTGCCTTCCCATGATGCCAAATAAGTTGGTTTTGGAGGAAAGAAGAAAAGAACGGGTCGAAGCCCTTCCCCCTTGGATGTGTCTGTTTTTTTCTGTTGTACGCATAGTACACTATACTATGCCTCCACATCCGGCGCAGCCCATGTCACTGATCAGTTTTCAACTTTTCACTTTAACGGTTTACCGAACAGTTTTTTGGAATCGTCACTGTCGTCAGGCTGGAGAATCGTCACTGTCGTCAGGGTGGAGACCTTACTCTGTGATCCGCGTATGGTCGTAATGAATGAATCTTTTGCGGATTGAGTATCTGCTTTGACTATTGAGTTGCGCTCTTTATTGCATGCGAAATGGAATGATCTCCGTCGGCGTTTTATGCATCTCCGTTCTCATGCGGATCGAAGTTGTATGGCCATCCAGCTCTTCCGCTCTTCAACGAGCGACCAGCAATCCATTGTTTTGTCTGCAACAACGCCATCCCCTCAGAGATCGCCTCAAAAGATGGAAGTCATAGAAAGAACTCATTATTGAAACATCGTATACATGACGAAGGAGATTATTTTATTTAAACCATTTGTCAACCGGGGGAGTTTGTATGTTGTCATTATCATCATCACTATTATTATTTTTTCTACATCTCTCCTCTATACTATTAAAAACTGCAAAGGACTCGCCGTGACACTTCCCGGCAGGCCCAGAAAAATTTGGTGCCACGTGGCAGTCCCTGTATAAGGGAAAATTGGTGCCGCGCTGCGCGGGGTCGGGAAGCAGTGTTAAAAAAAATGGCAGTGCATTTTCCCACATTCTACTGGAAGATTCATTCTCACTTGGCTTATTCGGTATGCAGTGGAGCGAGGCCCAGCATCATGTCGTTTCACAACTCTTCGGGCATGCAGGCGGTTTTTCTTTTCCTCCCCGGGGTTCAGTTCCGTTTGGATGATCTGGCAGTGGGATGCGCGCATCAGCGTTTCGGGCAGCCACAGATGATCGAGCGGTGGGTCAACATGGAACTTACTGTGTTGTAGCGTTTGGTGTTGAGGGCAATGGGGCTGGGCTCTGAGAGCGGGTAGAGAGGGAGGTGGCAGGGGGTAGGAGGATGGCACCTGCAAGCGGGTGGTTGGATGCCTGTCTATATCTCGGCGTGCATGGCTGGAAAACTCTCTCTCTCTCTCTCTCTCTCTCTCTCTCTCTCTCTCTCTCTC